ATTTCGACCCATTGCCATCATTTCCTCTGTACCTAAACCGGCAGAACGCGCTATTCTCACCCGTTCGCGGTCTAGTATTAATGTTCCCAATGTCCCCCCTCAATATGCGTAAGAGCAAAATAGATGTACTCTTCACTTATGCGATTCCCGAAAATCCATTCGTATTATCTTCCTTGACTATTCCTCCGCTTTTTATCCCGTTCCACAATCTCTTCTCCAAAAATTACAGTCATTTGGTCGCTCCACCACTTTATTATTGTGGTTGAAGAACTGTTTATCAGGAACTATTCAAAGACCGAAAGCGGACGGCTGTTTGAAAACCGTTGGTGAATAAGTTTGGAGCCCTTCAGGGTGCTGTGCTTCCTCTATACTTATTTCTAACAACCAGCAAAGACCTTTAAATATGCCAATGCGGTCTTATATCAAGCGATTTCCAAATAACTCTACATGGAATCATTTTCTGAAATTTTGGTACAAATGCAAGTATTATTGGACCAAGCCGGTCTCCAGTTGAATCCCCCTGAGTATTTGGAATCTATTTATAGTCTTTCCCGGTCCGAGTATCCGTTTGGGAGCCTCAGTCATTAATTCTGTAACCATTGCCAGAGCGTACCTGGGACTCACCGAAGAGAGCAATCTACGGTGGTACTCCATGTGTTGATAGACTACGTCGCTTTTCCTTCCAGATAAGCAATTTAGAATGAAGCATTCAACTGTATGTTCAATTGTTTATCAATACATTTTCCTGCGTGCAATATGCTACAGTTGTATTTCGGACTCTTTATTTCAACATCATACGCCTGACGGTTGTCTTTGACTTAGTGCATAACTGTTACACGATAAGATCACAGTGTTCAAATGTACTAAAACGTGTGACAAAGGAAGCCAGGATGTGATTGTCATCCAGGTCTGCTACATCAATAGTTCTTATGCTATACTTGTAGCAAGCTGGTGAGATACAATCCGGATGATCTAAGTGGTTAGAGTGTGTCCGATTTCAACAGCCCAGTGGATTCGTTAGGTGTGCATTATCGATGACTCCGGAAAAGGACAGGTTTACAATGCCTCCAAGGATTTGCAGTGATCAGTAACATGTGAACTCTGTATGGGAAATATACTTTGATACATACATCCAGGGACCCGCAGGTCAGATTTAGGGGGTGTTTTCCTATCAACCATTGCACCCCTTTGTTTCACACTCAATTTGCATGCGGTGATACCTGTTTTAAACGAATTATAAGCAGGTATACAAACATTTCTTCATCATATTTATCATATTTTATGGTGCTTAAAAATACATAGAGCACTCGAAAAAATGCATTCAATTATACCACAAATACACCCATATCCGTTGCGATCTTTTTTGCACTACGAGACCAACATGTGAAACCGTTCCGGGATGAAAATAACCATTCCCATGAAATGGGAGTTCCGAAGAGGTGAGAATATCATTGGGATATTATTCGGCAAACTAGCCCGTGAGGAGAGGAGATTTGCAAGACTGAATGAACGGAAGCAAAAGCACACGTACAAATTCGCTAGCATGTCTGAAGACAGGGTTTCGACCGTTTACGACTACATAACGATGAGTGTGTGTGCCTACGTCTGAACTCACGTGCGTGTATGGACACAGGGATGGAAATACCACCGTAGACTAAATACCCAATTCTGCCATCGCACTAATAGTGATGGGAGAACATAGACTAACCACGACGGGCTAGAAGGAAAAGTGGATGGGAGGGATAGAACTTTCAAAATCTGCTCAATTTCTAGTATACCTTGTCTGTTGGTATCATCAAATGGAGAATTGGAACGATCATGCAGCAATGGGATTATAAACGGTGGATAGCCGCCTTGAAAGCACTTATAACAGTGTATATCTACTCATTCACTTTGAGAGACTGTGGAGACGGCCGAAATTCTCTCTCTCTACTGCACCTGAGTATTATTCACGAAGCAACAAACGAGGGTGAAGGAGGACAGAAACAGACAGACAGATCAATATAAATGGGTGGATTCAGTAGACAGTGGTGAACAATGATATTGATTCAAATACCGACGCAGGGATGCCAATAAGCAATAAAAGAGAGGGATACAGCTCAGACAAGCAGTAAGGATAATAATGGTTGCAGTTACTCACCTTAAGATCTGCAAAACTGTCGCCGTTTGCTAATCACATTTAACTCGCATTGTTACTCTCTACCAAAAAGAGTAAGTTTGATATAGATCAAAAGCAGATGAGAAGGAATGGAATAGCAGTCATAAAAGTAGGTAGATGTGGGGGGTGTCATATTGCACGTTTGATAACCTACTTGTTTGCAAAATCGTAGAAATTCGATTGTATAAGTTTGACCGCGGAAGCAACACGTGCAGAACGCCCATGATCGTCTGCAAGGAGGGAGGAAACCAGCTAGACAGTCGGTTCAGTGATTCAACGGGAATATTTTTTGAATCGAGTGCTTTTAGTTGAAACCAATCATTCATTGCAATGAAGGAAAATCGAGTAATGCATAGAAGCGAAAATGAAGCGAATTTGCTTATTTAAAACAGTCACGATTTCACAGAAAACAATTTGGAACATGTGCCTGACGAGTCAAAATTCCTAGAACTGTGCTTGGAACAAAAATGATATCATCTACATTGCTTAGCCTCCGTAAGAAAGCCGTTTTGTAACCCCTTTACTTCCTTTCGCTTTTACTTGTTCTAAACTGAGAAACTGTATTCGGTAAACATTTCAAAATGAGTTAAAATCGCATTTTCTGAGTTTGTTAGACAAAAAGAAACCGAACAACATTATTTTAATTGCCGTCGTTTTGTTTCACCCCTGAACATCACAAACGGAATCGTTGGCTATAAATGATTGGAGTGAGCGAAATGAACGTATGGAAGACATCCTACAGAAGCGAAGCTGTTATCAATTAAATTAATAAGTCACAATTCCCTATTATTGAGAAAACAAACAGTAATTTGGTCAATACAACCCAATTCAGTTCATTTAAGGCAATCGTAAACCTGCGCTACAGTGCGTCAACTTTGATCACTGTTATTCCGAGGGGAAACTTGAATCAAACGACAAATACGTATAGGGGAAGGGATTTGGAAATTGAAAATGAAACTTAAATGTTACATCGAGTTAGCACTTCCCGAGGTTCATAATTACATGAAACACTTTACGTCACTCTCAGTACGACCAAGCGGCTGAAATAGCCTCTGATGATGAAGCCCTGCTAACTACCTTCTAGTGGCGGTGTTTTTCCAACTAACGTGAGAGGACGAAAAACCAATATCCGGGGCTATAACCGGGCTGGTGAACCACTGGCAGTTCACCTAGGCGAGTTGGCTAAAAACCCTGATTCTAAACCAACC